GAAATAAGTGCGGGGGGGGGGGGGGGGGGGGGGGGGGCGAATGGGAGAGGAAAAGTGCCGGCGATGCAGGGTAAGCGGGCTCCAACCCCCATTCATCTTCGGCGCTCGTTCCGGCCGAGGATAACGTTATTTCTACCGTAATACTTCTGTCGGAGAATCGCCCAGCGGAAAAAGCAGTTCGGTATTGCAGCTGCTGGCGCACGCGTACTTCTCGGTTCCTCGACAAATGGCAATAACGACGTTAATAGCGCGCCGAATCGTGAAGGGAAGGGATAAAAGGAGATTTCGAGGGTCCTCCGTGGATACGGACGTAAACGGAGATGCGAAACCCTCCGTGATCCTACTGGATTATGATCGATGCGGTTTAACGATTAGCGAAGATCTTAATTCCAGGATCTTACATATGTATATTTCGCGTGCCTCACTTTTCAATTCTTAAAAGATAACGAAGAATAACGACACATTGAAAACTATAGGGATGGATTTAACATTTGTTTATATAATTTTTACCGTGTTGATGTTAATAGACATATCTGATATGAATTTTTAATATTATAATTTGAAACACGCGATAATTAAATTTATGCCATGTTGATGTTTATATCTGCATCAACACAGGGAGAATTATATTTAACACCTTTGCTGTTAAATTCATATCCATAATTTTTAAAGTGGATGTTAAGAAATAAGAACAACGGTATTCGGGAAATAGTTAAGAGATTCTATGAATTAAGAATGAATGCTTGAGCGAATTTTTAGGGTTTTCAACCTAAATCGAGCTTAACGCATTTGCGAATAGCATTATGCTAAAATCAGTTAATAACATTTACATATTTTTTTTAATAATAAAAGAGTGAGATTTTTAAATTTTATTATAATATAATTGTTCCTAACAACACTTTTATCCCATCTTTTCTTACAATTCATTAAAATATTACAAATATATAAATACTTTTATGAAGATTATAAAAATGGTTTTTCTTATAAAAGATGATAAAAATAGACGAAGGTATAAATACAAGGTATGTAAAAATATTCTGCACGAGATTATGAATAACCTAACTTGTGTTTAATAAACGTATGCTATTTTAAGAAGACAAAGAGCGATCGATAGAAATCGATCGCTCTAATTGTCGTGAGATTGACAAAGTGTAACGCACTTTTATGACGATATCCGCAAATGTTAAAAAAAAACAGACCGGACCGAACGAGATTCGAAAGATAGAGAATACGCATCAGGAGAGTAGAATGAGAAATAATAAGTGCGCGCAATCGGCGAAGTGTAGCATAGTCGCGGTAGTAGACGTTGACGGGATTTCCCAGAGAAGTATACGACGATGTACTCCCACGCCCCCATTCGACGAGCCCAGCCGAGAGACGAGCGACCAGAGCAACTGCCACCCACCCACCTATCCACCGCCCAGCCAGCCAGCCAGCCAGCAGCGAGCTAACCACCCACCTGCGTTAGCCGCGGTCGCCGCTGACGCTGACGCTGAAGCCGCCGCCACTGTCGTTCGGTTGTGTTTAAAGCTCCGCCAGTAAAACAATAAATTGCGCTCGAGAGAGCGGCAGAGCGCGAGGGAGAGAAAGAGAGGGTGGCAAAAAGGATGAGAGTGAAAGAGAGGCGAGAGTCGCGGCGTACTAGCGCGGAGGAAAGCGGTCCCTGTCAGCAATTGCCCCCCTCTCGTAAGAAAAAATGGCAGCTGCCGTGGCTGGATGGCGCGTACGAGACCATAATACCGCCACCCTACCTCGTTCTGTACGTGTGGACGTCGAGCGTGCAGCGAGAGGGCGACGGGTGGGGGGCGGGTTGCTACGTTTGGAAGGGGCGGGAAGAGGAGAGGGTGAAAGGAAGAAGCATGAGGAAGAAGGGACAAGGACGCGAGAAAGAGAGAAAGAGAGAGGGAGGAAGGGAAGAGTGGGACGAGACAGACAGTGCGGAAAAAAGCGACGTAGGACGAGGAGAGACGACCTGGGTGAGCAGCGACGACTATGATGACGACTACGATGATGACGAAGACGACGACGAGGACGAGGACGACGGCGGCGACGACCACCGCCGGCTGACCGAGGGAGAGAGAGAGAGAGAGAGGGAG